AGAAAAATATTAAATAAAACAGATTTTTATAATTATAGAAATTTCAAAATATTTTCCAAATATTTTCTTGAAACCTGCATTTTACTTTATTCATAACATTTGATAACCACTCGCGATCCGGTGAATCCGTGTTAAAAGAAGCTGATCGAAATAGCTTGATGCTGGCTACAAAGCAAAATACATCACTGGACGCAGGCAGTGTAGAAACAGACCAGCAAAGGTCCATTTTGGAAACCTTGCTTTGAAGTAATGTGAAAACGGTCTCGGAGCAAAGAAAAAATCCATGGTAGAGGGGGGTATACTAATACTACTTTATACTATGTATACTAATACACGCCCCCTTCTGCCATTGACTTTTTTCTTACCTAGGATACAACACTCACGTAGGATGATGGTTCCTATATGATGCGCAGACAGTTTAAACGCTTCTTACAGCTTAAAAGAATATATCAATTGCAAATGCATTTCTTATGTTTACATTGAAGAGAGAGGGTAGTTGCTCTCAGCCACTTTTTACATGTCGAGGCAGCGCATTTTAGATGTTTGTTTAGCGCGTGCAGTGGATGATAGCAAGCACATACAAAATTATTAGCTTAGCCGCCTTGATAGACCGATATATTGCTCTTTATAATTAAAATAATAATTTTTTCCAGTTTCCGTAACTCAAATAAACATTAACTGCTAAAGCACCTAGCCAACAAAGAACCCTTTTTAACTTCCATTGATTTAAGATATACATATGTATATCATATGCAACTGTTGAAAGCCTCTACAAAAATCTCTCACTATGTATATTAGATCTTAAAACAATCCGATTCGAGCGCAAATGTCGTTCTCTTATTTAATTCAATAAAATGTATACCAACTCAGGGCAATAAAACTCTTTATTTAATTAATTTATGCAAGAACTCCAACTCAATTCACGGCAACAAGTTGCAATTGCCCACACCAAACACTGCTGTAGCAAGTGGGACGTTTGTGCTGCGCAGCCTGTGCTGTTGACCAAAACTGTTGCCGCAGCCAACACCACTGACAGTCCACACAACTTGGGCATTAGCAACAGCAATTTGCTGCTTTGTTGCAACTTCTGGCGACGGAGTGCCCAGCATTGGGAGTCTATCTGGTCTGCACGCCTGCATACCACTTTCGGCCTGTCCGACCACTTCCACCGCCTGCATGGGTGTGCATGTGCGCTTATACGTGCATGCGTGTGTGTGTAAGTCTACCGGACGCCAAACGTTTATAGTCTTGCTCACTTTTCCTGCCGTGACGTTGGCGTCATCATGCAGCGCGCTATGTCCATGACTGTGTTTGCTACAAGTAGTGATCGCGCACCTCATTGCCGCAAAGGAAGCGCACCAGCCAACAATAAATGTATGTATAAAGGAAATAGCAACAAAAACGATTTTGAAACGAAATTAAAAGCGGCCACAACCACAACTCAAATGGGTACAAAAAAGCCAACCACATTTCGAGTCACCATCAGCAGCAACCAGAGCAACAACAGCAATTGCAACATGATCAATAACGCCAATAATGCACAACAACAAAACAAGATCAATTTATAGCCAAGCGCAGAGCACACGAAATGAAACCGCACACACAAAACCCGCATAGTCACTGACAAAACGCACACATATACATTGACACTTGTGTGTGAGCCCTGCTTGTAACGCCGTTTGCTGCGACTCAGAGGCGCTTCAACTTGTTGTTGACGCTCACATTGTTGTTGTTGACTCTCGTATTGTTGCTGTTGTTGCTGCTGATATGTCTCAACGTCACTGCGCCCCAACTGTGGCGTCGTAGCCGCTTGGACGCTACGCTTGACGCGCGTCTCAGCTCATTGCGCGTCCACACATCGCGGCGTGCAGTTCGCCTTTTCGCGCTTCCACTGTCTTTCTTCCGTACTTCTTTACTACGAGTATTCCACTCCACTCCATTTCGGCTAAGTTGCGTTCGCAATTCAGTTCAGCTTATTTGTTTGCCAGCTGTTGATGTTTCTCGCCGCAGCGCGTAAGTCCGCGAAATTCAAGTGTCAACATCGTTTAAAAAATTACCACGATTCTTCGTCGAGAGCTTTTTGTAACCAAAAAAAAGACATTTATTGGGTGAAATTGTTTAAATTTAGTTTATTTAATGCTGTGCGCTTACTGAAATTGTGAAAAAATTGCAAATTACAGTTTTGCATGTTGTGTAAGAGTAATTTCTTCGCCAACTTGACCGTTGACTGATAAATTGTATTGTGTGTGCGAGTGCTGCCTGGTGATAACATTTTTGGTGGTTTATAGCTGAAAAAAAATTAACAAGAAACTGAAACATTTATTATATTTGCACTTTCATTTAAAACGGCGAGATTTATTTTGTGTTTAACCAATATATATACATTTTGCAATTGATATAAGAAGAAACTGCAAAGGCAAAATTACGAAAAATTACACTTTTTTATGATATTTTTGAATAATAATAATAATAATAATAATAATATGTATAAAAAGTAAAGATAAAAAAGTGTTTCAGCTCGGCAAAGTGTTTAAAAATATTACACACAAAAATTAATAATAATAATAATAATATGTATAAAAAGTAAAGATAAAAAAGTGTTTCAGCTCGGCAAAGTGTTTAAAAATATTACACACAAAAATTTTTTAAAGTAAATAAGTCATGAGTTGAACAAAAGTTGATATATCACCGTGCATGAAAAATTTGAAATAAATAAATAAAGATTAATGACAATATTTTTTAATTACATTTTATTTAAAAGAAATAGTTTGTAGAAAAAATTATTAAAAATTTATTTTCTATTTAAAAATACTTTTTATAAAATCATTTTTTTTTAACTTTAATAAAAAGAATTTTAACTGGATATATTTTTTATTAAAATGGAACATTTTAAATAAAACAAAAAAAAAAGAATTTTACTTACTAGAAAATAAGAAATATTTTCCTACTAAGAATAATAATAAAATAAATTATTGATAGCAAACAGTATTTTAAATTTAAAAAATATAATTCTACCTAAAAAAAATCGAGCTTCATCTTGTAGCCAGCCTTTTTAAATGGCTCAAAACCGTCATGAATATTAGGTTCTTTAGCGATTGGCTGCTTATGTGATGGTTCTGGTCAATCGACTTCGTAAAATTCACAAATTTCATTGGTGGCTTGTGTGGCATTCTTCCCTTTTTATACCCTGAACAGGGTATATTAATTTTGTAACGAAGTTTGTAACACCCAGAAGAAAGCGTCGGAGACCCTATAAAGTATATATATGAATGATCAGTATGTTGAGCTGATTCGATTTAGCCATGTCTGTCTGTCCGTCTGTCTGTATATATACTAACTAGTCCCTCAGTTTTTAAGATATCGTTTTGAAATTTTGCAAATACCATTTTCCCTTCAAGAAGCTACTTATTTGTCGGAACTACCGATATCGGACCACTATAACATATAGCTGCCATATAAAMTGAACGATCGGAATCAAGTTCTTGTATGGAAAACTTTCACATTTGACAAGACATATTCACGAMATYTGRTATAGATAATTTTCTAAGGCAACAATGTAATCTCCGAAGAAATTGTTCCAATCGGTTAACTATAGCATATAGCTTCCATACAAACTGAACATATAGTTACTAACATAAATGCACCTGTGAAGGGTATTTAGCTTCGGTGAAACCGAAGTTAACGTTTTTTCTTGTTTATACAAAAATTTGGCTGTATTTTGGAGTTTATTCATTATTTTTCAATTTCCCTGAAATGAAGCTTAAAATCTCACCTTTCTAATATTATATGGTATGACACAATGTGATTGGTAGCACTGCACATATACGACTGCCACGACATCTATTGACAAAATACGAAAAGACTTTTTCGACTGCCAAACATCAATACGTAATACATTTATCCAAGAAATTTCATTGCTGTCACTATATTATTTCACTGGAAAGTCACCGTTAGGTCTACTTTTTTGCTAATTTTTCGTGTTGTGACCTTTTTGTATATAATGTGCGATATACTAAGAAATCCATAAATTATTTAAAAGAGAAAAACAATATAATAAATTGTGTAAGATAAAATTATTTAATAGAAATGATAATAATTCAGTAAAGGAATAACCGAAAAACATAAATTTAAAATCTATAAGGAACTAATTAGTTTCGAAAATATTTCCGTTTTTGAAAAAGTTGTTGAATTAATCACGATAAAATATTACTTTTTTTCAAAAGAAAAAATTTCAAAAATTTTCGAAATTCGGAAATGCAAAATTCGAAATTTTTCAAACTTTTTTGGCTGTACTTATTCAAAAAATATTAGAATGTTGAATACTTTTTATAAAAAAGTAATACATTTCTATAAAAAGAAAATTTTCGAAATTCGGAAATGCAAAATTTGAAATTTTTCAAACTTTTTTTTGGCTGTACTTATTCAAAAAATATTAGAATGTTGAATACTTTTTATAAAAAAGTACTAGATTTCTATAAAAAAAAAAGATTTTCGAAAAAATTGTTTTTGCTATATTTACTCAAAAAGTATTAAATTTCTTCAAAAAATAAAAAAAAATTTGAAAAAATTGTTTTTGTTCTGAGATTTTCCAATTATTGTCTAATTTTTTTTTATTATTATTATAAAATTGATTATATTATATAAAATTAGCAACACATAATTACTATGCTAAAAAATATAGTGATATGAAAACTTTTAAGACTTTTTTTGTTTATTTTCATAAAACAGAGCACAAATTCTTACTACATTTCCCTTTTCTCTTGGCTTTCATGCCCATTAATCACGAAAAATGCGGTTAGCTGCGTGAGAACGCAAATGTTCCACATAAACTATTTAAATAAATGCATGCATAAATTTATTAAAGGTGCGCGCACATCTATGTGTGTATATGTGTGGGTGCATGCAATAAATTTTCTACTTGAAAAATGGAAAAAACACTTTCTGCAGTTTCCCGCAGACACGAAGACTTTTCATCTTTTGGCCTTTTTATACAAAGAATTTGTAGTAGTTGTTGTTGTAAATGCGCGTATTTATGCATTATTGTAGTTGTATATACATATGTATATATGTATGTGGTAGTTCTCAGCGCCGCACTGCACTTTTTCATACAAATTAATTTTATTTATTGCGTGTTGTTGTTGTTGCTTGTCTTTATTTATGCTTGAAAAGACGATAATAGAGGTGAGGAAGCACAATGGCTGTCTCTTATACACATCTAGATGTGTATAAGAGACAGGTATATATGTATGTGGTAGTTCTCAGCGCCGCACTGCACTTTTTCATACAAATTAATTTTATTTATTGCGTGTTGTTGTTGTTGCTTGTCTTTATTTATGCTTGAAAAGACGATAATAGAGGTGAGGAAGCACAATGGATGACTGAGTGCGCGTCCGTCGAGCAGGCAGCAGCACAGTGTTGTTGATATGAATGGACGTGATGAATCATTCCACTTGGCACTAAATGCATGGCTATGTTCTTATACATATGTATATTTGTATGTTTCAGCACGCCACACGCAGCGGCTAAATGTGCCGCCGATTAAGCAGCCCAAATAGCATACATAAATAAATATATATGTATTGTACAAATATGCTTATTTATATACTTGGTTGTTATGTTTTAGAAGAATGCGGCATGTCAGACATCAACGCTTTGTAATAGATCGCACGCCCCGCACTCAACACACGAGTATTTGGCCTCCTGACAGCTGGCAACCGCATTCACCTTGTGCCAGAATCGCCGCCACCTACCTACTCACCTACACATACACAAACACACATGCATAGCACACCTAACAACAATAACAATGTTTGCACTGACTGCCCTATTAGCCCAAAGGCAAGCAACCACTAAGTAAATGCCAGCCAAGTTCAGCCCGACAGACACACAAGACATTTGCCACAAGGCATTGAAAGCGAGTAGCAGATCACACTAAAAGGTTTCATCTCATGCTCAAAAATGTTTATCGCATTTTCTACTTCATTAGAACTTTTCATGATCGCATTGAATTCAGTTCGTATTTTTTTTCTACATTTTGTTCTTGGTCGGTAAGCGATCATGATCATGAATAATTTTTTCGCTTTTGTGATAAAAAAAGAAAACATAAAATACCCACATACTTTACTTACAAGCAAGCAGACCGCAGTGTGTACATACATCTGTGTGACGGTCATCTATTGAGCGTATGTCGCATGGCATTTCAAAACCATACTGCCGCCGTATGCTATGAGTCAGCAGTATTTCCTCAAAATTTAACAGCCTCAAATGGCTAGCTAAATTGAATTAGAGTTCAAAGACAGTTGCTTGCTTTATTTGGGGTTCAAGAAGATCACATAGCATGATCATTGCCGATCATACTGATCAATTTCAGACTATTTGTCAGCGCACAAATCAATGTCCGCAAATTGAAGATTTGGCAAAAACGAGGCCAAGCATTACTACAACACGCACACAAACACACACAAGTCAATAAATGTTGATATTTCCTCATTAATGATCATGTCAGGATCCTCTTTGCTCATGCGAGCGTATTTAATGCTTTAAGCTTATTATTACCTCATGTGCTTATTATACGAGTTGTCTGTCTGTATTTTGCCGCTTTTTGAACTCGGTCTGAGTGCGAATTTATTACACGCTTTTTATGATGCGTTTTACGTTTGCTGCTTAACCATTTGTTAGGCTTTGGTTGCCGCCACACGCATTTGTTATGGTTTTCCGTGAATTTTACGTCTGTTTGTGGGCCGAAACAGCGCGATATCCTGCTGATAATTTGATTCAGCTGTAAGTGTTATTTATTGATAGCTGTCAATTTTATGTACCATAAAGATCACTCCGAGTAATGAAGATCATTTGGACTGGCTGATCTTGCCGACATTGGGTTCATAAATTTTTGATATGAAGGCAAGCAAGCTTTTCACCATATTTAATAAGTTATTGAAAAATACCGTTAGTTTATTGGAAAAGTAGCAATTTGAGCAAGAGAGTCTTCCTCAGGAGTACATAGTTTATCCTATAGACTTTGCAGTTTAGGTTAGGTTAGATGGCTGATCTAGAGAGGTCACACGTGGACTGCTATATTTAAAACTCTGTGAAAAGAAGAACTCCAGTGTTCGAACTTATAAATTAGCAAATCGAGTAATAGGGACTACAAATTTGCACAGACGTTCAATTTCCATTCCCACCAGTTCGCCTGCCTGAAGATATGCACTCCCAAGTGTTTAAGCCTTGACCTCCCAAATGCGGGACAGTCAAGAAGGAAGTGTTGAGTTGTTTCCTCCTCGTTTTCTGCCATACAGCTTCTGCAGACGACGTCTGGTAAGATTTCCAGCCTTACAGCATGGACTCTAAAAGAGCAATGGCATGTTAAAACTCCTACAACTAGTAAGAGGCTAGTCTTACTAAGGCAAAGAGATCACTGTATCTTGTGAGTTGGATGTTGGGCCAAAAGCATTTTGCGACAACGGGATCACCATCAATCCCGCGTTGCCCAAGCTCCTGCGAAGCCCAGCTATCTCATCAGTAATAGAACACAAAAGGATACAGGAGTACCAACCCGCTCCCATTTTACTAATAGCAGTTCTACGGTCCCATTTATTGCTAGCTTCACCAGTTTTACAACCTCCTGCGATTCCGCTGTGGCATGGCACCCATACCAGTCTTATCACAACGAGACTCGGTTCTATTGATAACGAGCATGACACTTCTTGAACAACCCTGGACGCACTTTTTGTGACTTCAAGACTAGTATCGCCGTCCTGCTATCTGAGTGGATGGTCACTCTCTCAAGGAAGCTGTATTCCAGAGCAGTAAATTTACTGCTACCTTAATGGCTTAAAGCTGGAGTTGATAGAGAGCTATTGACAGTAAACCCTCCACCAACCTTCCTCTCCAAGCTTTTACACATAGGTAAAGAGGCTACTTCAACGGCGTCTTCCGACACACAACTCGCTCGCCAGTATATGGACAGAGATGAATTCGCCAAAGTTCGGTTTAGCGACTGCGCGGTCTAAGTGATCCTATAAGTGTTCTATCGTTATCTTGCTTGGGTTAAAGCATCTGTTATGAGACATCTCGTACATACCATATACAATTGTTACCTTGAAATCTGAGCTGGTATTCTGGCCGTAGGAAATCGTAAGAAGTTTAGTGAACTTCTTTCCTTCAGCAAAGTACTCCTTTCAATGGTTGAAGCAGTTCTAACTGGACTCTGTCCGATCGATATTTATTCGCTAAATTGAATATTTTACCGGATGCCTGTTGCATTAGCGGTTTGGAAGAAGATGAGATAGAATCAACTTCTACTACACTTTCTTCTCGTTTGTCTCGCTGTTGCAGGATCAAAGCAAAACCATTTCGCCACTTATACTTTCGGACATCCAGCTGGAAAAGTGGAAAGAGCAATAAAGCACCTGAGGGATTTGTGATAGGTTCAAGCGCTCTAATTAGCCGATAGCTGATATCCAACTACAGGAGTTTATCACATAGCTTCACAATAGACTGTACTCAACCGTTTAAGTGTGATTCCCTATGTGATGTGGAGGAATCAGGCATCTAATCTAAGCTAAATTTACCTTTCTTGGCATCTAACAGATTGAATACATTAGCTTTCTATAACAAATTAATTATAATTCAACACTCTAAATAAAATGGTACATAGATCATAGCAAACAGTAAGTGCTTTCAAAGCTTGGTATAACATTTATTGGCGAATTTAACAGTTTCTGTGTGAGACGTCGTTTCGACTTTCAGTAACAATTGTATATGGCATATACGAGATGTGTCATAACAGATGTTTTAACCCAAGCAATATAACGATAGAACACTTATAGGATCACTTGGACTTTTCTGGGCTAAAATTTCCGATTGGAATCCGTTTTTCAACTATCTTTCAGCTAAGGCTTTAAGGTAATAAATGCTGAAAGCTTGGTTGCCTCAAAAGTATGAGAGACGCCTCGGACCACCTTGACTTAAGCTCAATGTAAGTTCACTGCATCTACTTACCATTTGGCTTTTGCGCAGTTTCAAGACGGACCTAGAACAAGTAATAAGTACTATATAGTATAACTAATTTTTGATTTTTTGTTATTTTTTTATTTAAGAAAATCAAAATTAAGTACAAAAGTCATTTGAGGAAAAGCAAGTGCCAACAAAGGCAAGACAAGTACTAAAATAATTTTTAGCAGTAAACCAATTTATAGGCGCTTAAAAAAGCTTTTTTGAAATAAACACAATAATTAGTTGTATGCCAAAAAAATAATTATACGAAAATAGGCGATATGTGTAGCGATTAATAGCTTAATAAAAATTTAAATATGAAGGCAACCAAAACACCTGCAAAATTGAGTAATATTTTTTGTTTGAAAAATCGTGTCATAAAACGCTTTTAATTATTACTGAATAAAATACTTACATATGTGTATGAATATTTCGATTATAATATGTACCTAAAATACAAAATATCGTAACCTCACTTTTCATAAGTTTAAAGGCTAAGGTAAAACGATATAGTAGAATCCGCTCCTATAAAAAAATTTTGTTTTGGTTATAAAATGGTTATATATTGGTTATAAAAGGGTTATATATAGGTTATAAAATGGTTATATATTGGTTATATCTGCGAGCGGCAGATGCAAATTTTATGCTATGATTTAGTGAATCGTAAGCAATACAAAAATATAATTCCGATTTTTTTGATGATACTAGTTTAGGTTATAAAATGGTTATATTATATATTGGTTATATGTGACAGCGGCAGCAATAAAGAACTGAATTTCGTTCTTTTTGATGCTACCTTGTTTTGCATTTTAAGTGACGATATATATATATATTATATGTAAAATAAAAGTATATATATCAATGTATAGTATGTATGTATTTCTAAAAAAATCATGAACGCTTTGTGCTCAAATCTGTCTCTTATACACATCTAGATGTGTATAAGAGACAGTATATATATTATATGTAAAATAAAAGTATATATATCAATGTATAGTATGTATGTATTTCTAAAAAAATCATGAACGCTTTGTGCTCAAATGTCGCTGAAATGCGATATTATTGTAACAAAGGAATCCGGCGGCACCCACACTTCAACTTTTTAATTATTGTGTATAACGACGGACGATACATTTACTAGAAGCGCTTAGATATGCGCACGTACACTTGGAAATGCATATGTAACTGATAATAAAATTTATAGGCACACCAGTAAAGGCAGTGATGAGTGGCGGCACAATTAGGAGGTGATTATAAAGTAATAAAATCAATTGAACCGGAATACAAAGAAAATCGTAAAATATTTATTTAAATACGTGATTAAATCAGCAACGTGTTAATACGCTGGCAAATAATAATAACAACAACAAGAAATAATAATAATAATCAACACAAGTGATCTACAGTGAACGTCTAAGCACGCACTGAATACGCAAAAGCAACAACAAAAACAATTAATTGTGATTTTCTGAACGCAAGTGAAATTGCGTGCAACAGCAAGTGCTAAAAACAAAAACAACTACACTTAAGTATTTTAATTGCAAGAAAACCCAAGACACGCGACGCCCACAAGTGTGAATATGGCCACGACAATGCAACAGAGTGCCCCGCCAGCGAATGCGACCACAAATCCACAACTGAAGCGTATTGTCTACTCGAAATATCGCGAACTTTTGGGGTCCTACAACGACAAGGCGAATGCAATTATCGAAACGCTGCCCGCTTATATGGTGCGCGAGGATCGCGGCTTTCATTGTGAGTCCAATGGCGCGGTGACTGCAACGGTAACAGCAGCGGTGGCGCCAATATCGGCAACAGCAGCATCGAAAACCATTATAAGCATACCAGCGAGATCAGCAACAACAACAACAGCTACACCGCCAAGTCAGCATATAACAGCAACAATTGCTGGCACAGCAGCGCCCGCAACACCCAGGAATGGCACGGCGCCACCGAATTGCGCGGCGGCAGCGCTGCTACGTCAAGTGGCCGCGGCGGCGGCCGCAGCAGCAGCGGCACAGGGTGAACGTGTGAGCGAATTGTAAGTGCGCACTTTCTACTTGATTGAGTTTGCGGGTATGGGTTTGTTGATTGCGTTTAAAAAGGCTTTCTTATTAATTTCATGCAATTTATTTGTGGGGAAGATACATTCATAAAAATTAGCGGAAATTTTTAATGAAATGTTAGATTTTACAAATTTTGGACTCATTTCTGTCGATATATTGTGTTTTTGTTTATTAGTGGTGGGTCCAAAAAAATTTTTTGTTACGAAAAAAGTGAAGAGAAAAACAATAACATTTTTAAATTTAAATAATTAATGGGGAAATAAACGGTTTTCAATTAATTTAAGAGAACAACATAACAGAAAAATAATAACATTTTTAAATTTAAACAATTACCAGAAAAAAAAAAAAACAGAAAAATGGTTTTTATTTATTTAAATACACGACAAAAAAAATTTGCAACTTTCTAAAATAGTAGAAAATTATAAATTAATAATTCAAATAAAATTACATAGCAGAAATATTTAATGTAAATAAAAAAATGTGAATGAATATATTAGTACCAATAACCCAAAGTAGGCAAAAAAATATTTTTTTTTTAACAAAATTCTATTAAAATATAAATTACGTCTTTGAAATAAATTTTAAGACTATAAAATTAACTGAAGAAAAACTTTTGGAGAATAAAATGATACAGTTTTAATAAAAAACGAAATCATTACTTTAAAAATAAAAATGATCTCAAAATTTCGAATGAATAAGTAAGCGTGTTCGACATTAAAATGAAACATGTTTTTAAAGTTAAAATATAAAGTAACTACCGTCTAAAGTCTTTTCGTATTTCTAATCAAATTTCAACTTGTTCTTATATTTATAATGAACTTTAATGAACCAAATATGTACCATTTTGGTCGACCACTTTTTACCAACTCTTCTGGTTTCTCGGTGAAAAACTGCGACAAGTAATTTTCACAGGCTTCTTTTGAAGCCAATTTTACTTCATTGAGGGAGTTCTGTATTGACCAAAAAAAAAAAAAAAATGGTAGTCCGAAGGTGCAAGATCAGGGCTTTATGGTGGATACATCAAAACTTCACAGCCAAGCTCCCCCAGCTTTTATCGAGTGAGTAAAGATGTATGTGGCCTAGCGTTGTCCTGATGGAAAACGAAGCCTTTTCTGTTGATCAGTTCTTGCCGTTTTTGAGATTGCTTGCTTCAATCTTATCAGTTGTTGACAGTAAAATTTAGAAAAAAAAACGTTCTCCCAGGCTAGAGAAGCTCTTTTCCTTTTCAATCCCCCTAAACACTCAGCATAACCTTTTGAGGCGTCAATCCGGACTTTGTGGTACCCAAACATCTGTTTTGTATCCAGCCTCTTTTAAATGGTTCAAAACCATTTGATGATGAATTTTAAGTTACTTAGCGAAGTCATGGCTGCTTACGTGACGGTCGTGGTCAACCATTTTCATAATTACTTATTCTATATTTATTCCAACAGAGATTTTACTTAGAAAATCGGTGCTTTCATATAGAGTAAAAAAAAAAAAACAATGTGAGGTTACTTTGCTAGAGCTCCTAAGATGAGTGGAAATATATTTATAAGCTGTACAAAAATATTAAAATACAGTTTAGAACTTGCAAAGGAAATCTTTAAAAATTATTATATTCATATTAAAAATGATTAATAATAATAATGTTTATGAAAAATTTTACAAAAACACTTTATTCTTGATAATAAAATAAAAATTATTTTCTTGATGCATTTTTTTTAATTGTATGTGCCATTTATTGTTCGAATATTGTATATTACATTCCCAAATGTGTGCACTCCCTCCCCAGTCTACCACAAAAACGCCATTTTGTGGTTTCGCCACTCATTTTCCGCCGACTTGTTAACGTGCATCTATTTATAGCAACGTATGCTGTCATTATGTCATGTACTGCAGATGCAATAACTTGCGCGACACAACAGTCAACGTCTTCTAACCCCCCAACATACATACATACAACACACTTACATATACAAACACATAAACATACACATATGTATTGAGCAACGCATTTGCTTTTCTTTTCTTATGACGCCCTTGATCTTGAAAAATCGCTGTGAGTCAGTGTTTTTGGTTGTGTGTGGGTGAAGCGGAGGGGGCCGCTATTATCTTGTGTTTGATGGAAAATAAAGAAAAGCAAAAGTTTCGTGGGCTATAAAGCGCCAAGGCGGCCCCCTCACTCCAAGCGACACTAAGTGAAATGCCATTGAACGCTTAAAAATGCCTTCCAAGAAGAAAGAAGCATTAAAAAAGCAAAAGAAAAAAGAAAAATATGTGAACGGCAACAAAAAAAGCACAAACAACAAATGGGTGATGCCAATCAATGACAGCAGCAACAACAATAACTACATGAGCAGTAGCTGCAGCAGCAACATGTTGTTGCTCCATAGTCATGACTTGCCTTACTGTATGCATCTATGTATTTAAGCTGACATATGTACTTGTATGTATGCATATGCGAACACACTTGTAAATATATGAGTGTATCCATATATACTATATATATATGAATATATATATGCTCATATACGTTCCTCGGTTGCTATGGGTCAGGCCGTTCGAGTATACCGCATTTCTTTGATGCAGCCTTTGTTTGGGCAAGCAAAATGCTTGAAGTGAACTGAGTATTACGAGATTAAATGGCGTTCATTAAATTGTGGATGCTGCTGGTCGCTGTGAAAAAAGGAGTGGAAAAAATAATTGCACGACGAATCAGTATTACATATGGGTCGCACATTCACTGAGTGTCGTATTTTTAAGTGTCGCTGCACTATTTTTAGCGATCACAGATTTCTGTGGAATCAGCAGCGCAACCAAAAGGACCAAGTATGGGAAGAAAATCGAAACTTGATGAGTAAGGGAAGTGGAAGTCTCTATGCGGCGTTGTTATAATTTTAGTTTTGGGTGTTGCACATTTTTGCAAGCTAATAATTAGAATTGAATAGCACTTAAAAATGCAGAGTTAATTAAATCTAAATAAATAAATCACAAAAAAAAGGGAATAATTACAAAATATAGTGCTAGTTCTTTTTATCTCAACTTTTTTTGCTTTAAACAAAAATAAAAACAAGACGAAACCCAAGCTGAAATCGAAATTTCATTTCGTTAACTTCTCATTATTTTATACGATCCTTGTGAGTTCAGACTTAATAACCATAAAAAATTTGAACCAGAATCTTCTTCATGGTATGATATGATATCGATTAAATACATACAGGCATTAGAGAACGCTTTGTTAATTAGAAAAGACATCCGAGCAAACCAAATAAATGCTTGAACCCTATTCGACCTCAATTTTAATCGTTTGCCTGATTGCCTCCTCCACAAAACCACAAATAAACAATATTCTACAAAATCCGAAGAGCACAGCGCAAAACATCTGAATCATGCCTTGGCACATTTCTTGTTTTTGATTTAATATTAAGAATTTTGCAATTCATTTCTACATGTTTTTCTTACATTTGGCATGAGTAATAATTTTTCACCACCACGATATTTATTGGACGAACAAAACAAAGTGAAATGGAAAAATAAATTACAAATTGTTGCAACTGACTCTGCAAATGATGAAAGAAAATAGCAAAAACAGAAAGATAACAGCAAGCAAAAAATTACAAAAGCAATAAGAAAATTAATTATTTGCGTTTTCGTTGAAAAAGTGTGGCAGCTGGCGTGTAGAAGTATCAATATTATGCACTTTGTACTGTGGGAAGGTGTAGCCAGATATTTGGATTTGAATTGTAGCGAAAAATTGTAAACAGTTTGTACGTGCTCTTTTGATGGTTTTCCTTTCTGCTGCGTTTGAGTATAAGTTATCTCACTTTTTTTTGGCTACAGTAGTCGATCTGTTTAGTCTGCCTTATGTTTGAGGCTTTTAAACAACATGCAGCGATTTCCTTGAGAAATGCTTTACACAATTGTTTATTCTTTGTACATTTCGGTATATTTTTTCACAACAATGATCAGCAGTCTCTGCTCACCTTAAACTTTTGAAAAAAATTTTAGTAAATATTTGTTGTAAAAATATTAAAAATTATCAAAATATTTTGAAGGCTTTCTGAATACTTTTTTGTTGTATATCTGGTGGATATAACATATGTGCTCGAAACTTGCAATCATATGATTAAGCACAGTGGGAATGTGAAGGAAACACATAATGTGACGATCTTGCTAGCTCTCTTTACATATCACCCAGATTCGAAATTTTCCTGTAAGCTAACTATTGGTTAAATAGCCGGTTAATTACCCAACAGCACTAACAGAATTTTCTGTTAATGTTGCTATGAGTGTTTAAGGCCCAATTGACAATTCTAACTGAAAGTCTCTCTTACTTACGCAAAATTATATTTTCAATGTACATGTTGTAGTTTCCATAGGCGTGATTTGCTCTGTGAAAAAATAATATCCTTGAAGGATATCGTGTAGCTTTCTTCAGAGATTCAATTTTAAGTATGATTGTTATATATTATGTTTATCAACATGACTACTTACAATAAAACTACAAAATACTCTTTGTTAAGAGGTAATCAATCAGTTTTAACCCCATTTTCAACCAATGTCTATAGCAACCCAGAATTTTAAGTTGCTCTACTATAGCTCTGAACAGCTCATTAAGACAAAATAATTGTTTTATTTATGTCTTCCACTCGAAAAATTTTTTAGTGACAGCTATTAGTATTTGAATTCTGAATTGTAAGATTCAAGAATGTTCTTCACTATCAATACTATGGACTCTATGATGTAATAACACAATTTCATATATCTAACAAGAAGCTTTCTAAACATCTCCAAACTTTCATCTACCCAATGTAATTTTTTTTTTTTGTTGTCAAATTGTAATTTTCAGCAAAGTCGAGACCATAACATATAGATACCAAATTTAATTTCGTGAATCTTGCACAAAATTATTTATATAAGCAAGAAAGAGGAGGAGGGATGTTATCCGAAAGGCAATAAATTTTCTAAAACTTTACTTCACTAACCATATAAA